AACGCCTCTGTTTGCACAACAACAGGAGCAGCAGTGTCAAAGGATTTTCAATGCAAAGGGCGCACTGGCTTTTCGTTTGAAAATCTAAAGAAAAAATAAATGCTACCTGTAAAAATTGTGCCAGGACAAGTGACAGACTTCTAACTAGCAGCTGCCAACAAAAAATAGTAGTAACAAGAAAGAAATGCTAGAGTCGAGCGGGCTACACTCTTTAATACCCTGTACCAATTCCCACAAGAAAGAAAAAAAATTTTAAAAAATCTTAAAAATTAATTTTAAAATAATTAAATTAATACATATGTACATACATACATACATACATACATACATACATACATACATACATACATAAATGGAGATACATATTTATGTACAGTTTCAACAGCATACACTTACATCAGAATCGTGTCTGTGCGTGTATGTATACAGTACAGAAATAAGTCAAAACAGCAGCAACAACAGCTGTGGACAGAACTTGGGCAGAGATTATATTTATGGACCAAATATAACCAAATTTACGTCGAAAACTCCAGGAATAACGGGAGTTATGGAAAATCGCGAATAACGGGGAATTGGAGGGGTGCATCAGACTTTGTCCGACTTAGGAGAATCTGGATACCAAGTTTGGTTATTCTAGCTCTTATAATTTACGAGATCCTTGCGTTCATACAGACGGACATGGCTATATCGACTCGGCTTGTCACCTTGAGCAAGAATATATATACTTTGTGCGGTCTGTTACATACATTCGCAAAGAACTAGTATACCCTATGGATACAGGGTATAACAAGAGAGAACACTACAGTCGAGCAAGCCCGAAAGTGTAATACCCTGTACCCATGTAAACTTCCGTCACTGAGTTATATGCGCCCATAGCTGAAGCAAAGAGAGGAAGAAGAAGAGCGAACTTGTTGCTGAATTGAATAAAATTTTATACAACAGTAGACAATCATATATAAATTACTAGCAGGTATTGCCCGTCTTAACCCGGCTCAATATAATGTTTCCAATTGTATTTATTTTGTGCATAACCTACCTATGTATATGTTTTCACCTTATAAGTTACCAGTAGGAAGGCATTTAAGGTATTTAAATGAACATTTTCTGTTCTTGACAAAAAATTGTTCAGTAGTCCGTGACATTTTTGTTCTTGACAAACTATTTCGTTCAACGAACATGACCACTATAACTAATATTTTTTAAAGCTCGTTTTCCCCCCGTTGGAGCTAGAATTTTCCAAAAGCCTTTCTTAGTGTGCTCCTACACTATGATGGATACTATGAAAAGATACTTGAGTCCAAATTTCATCTTTTACCGTTTGGGCTGTGCGTTGATCACCAATTAGTCAGGACAAACTGTTTTATATATAGAGATAACGCAACGTTTTAAGATAGACTATGTGCAAAAAAGGGGAATAATTATAAGGGTATATCCTAATTTTAAATTCACATTTGAGCCTTTTCGTGCCATTTTGAGTCAATGCGGTCACGCACAAACTCGGAATATGAAACACGGCACTCGTGTCAATGCCGTGCAGCGATGAGCCACGATCAAAAAGCACTGACAATTCTCATCTCAATTTGCTAGAGTAAAACTTTCGATAGTTGAAGCCACCGATACCATCAAAATATCGAAGTTTGAATGCAATAAGCAGAATATTTAAATAATAAAATCTAATTATTTATTGAGATCAATAAGAACAAATCATACATACATACATCTGCCCGCAATGCGAAGCAGAATATGCGTAGCTCCGTTATTCGGTTTCTGCTTTACTATCGCTTACGCAGTCGTTGCTTAGCGACGGTAACTGTAAACTTTTGACGTTTTGCCTTTGCAATTAACATTAAATGGTCAAAACGAAAGAAGATGTGCGAGCCAACAACTTAAAGTTGTTGTTGTTGTTTTGTATGTACATGCTACATACATATACAGGCATACATGCATATGCATGTACATATGTATGTTTATGTTATAATGTTAATAATTTTTAATTATTTAACATTTCTTGCCCTGTCAGTGCAAGACGAATGTACTTTTATACATATGTATGTATGTATGTACATACATGTGTACAAATGAACATTCACACATTAGTGTCTCACATTTTGCTTTGGCTACTTCAACCGTTTGCACGCAACTACACGAACAGCTGCTTGTATGTATGTTTGTGTGTGTATGTATACTTAGTTGTCCCCAACTGTTTGATATTTTGTATTGTTTGTTCTGTCTGCATTTGTAAAATGCATATTTTAAAAATCGTTAAATGCAAAGTTGTAATTTTAGTTACGTAGATTATATTACCCAAATTTGAAATCGATCGGACAAAATTTATAACACAAACTTTTCATTTGAAAAAATGAATAAATATTAAAACCCCAATAATTCAAGCTCCAACACAAATTTCGAAAAACCGAGTATGCAGTTTTGTTTGTATTCTGTTATAGATTATAAAAACCAAATTTAAAGTTGATCGATTCAGAAATGCAGAATTTTCAAACAAACTTTGGAGCTACTTTTCCCCCCTTTGGAGCTCGAATTTTCCAAAATCCCTTCTTAGTGCGCATCTACACCATGATAGGATACTTGAGCCCAAATTTCAGTTTCTTAGCTTTTACCGTTTAGGCTGTGGGGTGTTGATTGTGTTTCAATTTTTCCACGGAAAACCCCCCTTTTTTCATGCCCCAGGAAAAATTGTGAAAAACCAAGTATACAGTTTTTCTTGTATTCTTTTTGAGAGTATACAAACTAAGTTTGAAGTTAATTGGATGAAAATTGTAGATTTTTCATACAAACGTTGGAGCCCGTTTTCCCCCCTTTGGCGTTCGAATTTTCCAAAACCGCTTCTTAGTGCTCACCTACACCACTGAAGACAACATGTGTCCAATTTTCAGCCTCCTAGCTCTAACCGTTTGGGCTGTGCGTTGATTGCACATAGCTTTTCGTTTACCGAATTTTCCACCGGAAAATCATTATTATTCAGGCCGCAGGAAAAATATTGAAAATCCAAGTATACAGTTTTTTTTGTATTCTTTGTGAGAGTATACAAAGTTTGAAGTTAATCGGATAAAAATTGTAGATTTTTCATACAAACGTTGGAGCTCGTTTTCCGCCCTTTGGAGCTCGAATTTTCCGAAACCCCTTCTTAGTGCTCACTTTCACTATAAGAGGGATCTTGTGTCCAAATTTCAGCTTCCTAGCTCTTACCGTTTGGGCTGTGCGTTGATTGCCAATCAGTCAGTCAGGACAAACTGTTTTATATACTATATAGAGATTATATAAGTTTGGTTTAGGTAGCATTTGAAATGTGGACGCTATTGACGAAATTCTGTAGCGGGGGAAGGGGGGGAAAATTCCAAAAAATAAAATAAACTCGTCCTTTCTCGGACCTAGGAGAATCTGGATGCCAACTTTGGTTATTCTAGCTTTTATAGTTTCTGAGATCCTCGCGTTCATCCAGACGGACGGACATGTCTAGATCGATTTCTCTCGTCATGCTGATTCAGAATATATATACTTTATGGGGTCGGAGATGCTTCCTTCTGCATGTTACATACTTTGCACAAACCTAATATACAGGGTATAAAAATTGGATCGATTTTACCTCTCTCGGTATTCGAACTCACGTAAAGAGTTTATAATTGCACATTAACATAGCAATTGCGTCTGTGTGAGTGTATGTATGCCTATGCGCATCTATTCGTGTCTGTGTAAGCATTTTCGCAGTCAACCAAACAGCAACATCAACAACATCAGCGGACAGCGCTTGGGCAGCGCTTGAACAGCGCTGCAGCAGCAGATATATTTATGGCTATAACTCAGCGGTGGGCACGTAGTGGCTCTTTGGGCTCCCAGGGCTCTTTCCGTTATGTTTTGGTAACTGGCGACAGCCAGACGCACAAGCAAAGTACTGATCTCGAGCAAACTTACAATAACAAAATACACGCAGTGTTGTCGCCAGCCAGACGCACAAGTAGATCGATGCAATAACAAAATACACACAGTGTGTGTACTAATGATCGATTTGCAATACCCGCTGACGGTCACTTATGCACTGACATTCAAAGTGTATTGACAAATTATAAATGATAGTGTTTCAGTAAAACTTTTATGATTTTCGTCAAGTTATTTACTTATAATCTTACTTACATATATTTGATTTAAAACTGAACAATGGCTAATGAAATTAATATTTCCGAGATTGAGACGCGGTATTTTTTTTTCCTATTAAATGTGGGAGTACATCAGTGTCTTATTTGCGGAACTGTGGTATGTTAAAAAAAAATTATAATATTCGGCGACACTATTTTAATCACCATGAAAATGCATATGCATGTTGAATGATAGAGAAAGGTTGGAACTTGTCGTTAAGCTAGAGCCAAACAGCACTTATGTGTGCGAAGCTGCATTTTCAAACATTAAATATATTAAAAATGTTTATAGGAATAAATTAAGTGACATAAATTTATCAGATTTATTACGAATTGCTTTAAGTGAAGAGGAAATAGACTTCGAAAAATTATTAAATGAATGTTCATAAATGTGATCAAAATTTTTTTCGGTGTACTTTTTTTTCCTAATTTTTTGATCGCAGTTTATGATGTTCTCGGAATAAAACAAACTCGTATAGAATACACACATAAGGCATCTTTGTGCAAAATTTGGTGTCTCTATCTCTTATAGTCTCTGAGATCCAGGTGTTCATACGGACGGACATACAGAATATATACATATACTTTGTGGGGTCTGCCACGCCTCCTTCTGCCTGTTACATTTTTCAGCTCCCGCAAACCTAATATACTTCTGTACATTTCATGTACAGAGTATAATAATAATTTTGCTTCCACCAGTTCTAAATTGTTCTAGTTCCTTTTCCCAGTGTACGCATATGCGAGCGTGGACTCACATAACTCAGTCCATTGTGAAATGGGCCGCCAGTATTTTCGGAGCTTTATTTCATTTTTTTTGCAATTGTCACTTCATTTGTTTTTCAAACTTACCCCCCAATGATGTGTAACTGCTTCCTTTGAAAATACCAAACTGGGCTTCTGCAGCCAAGGAACAGGAGGCTCTGCGATGGTAAATTGAAGGAGAAGTTGCTTTCAAGAGAAACACAATGTTACTTACTACAAAGTATGCAGCCGTGACGAATTTGAATAGTGGCCTGCGGACCCAGCTATAGAGAAGGGAAGCGAATTATTTGCAAAGGATTCAGAATGGTTGAAGATGCGTACCCTTGTTATGGGTGCCATGAGAGGGCGCAACCCTTTAGCGCTAGCCATAATGCGATGGGCCATGTCGATTGTTTTGTGCAACTAATAGCTTTTTGATCGCTGAACAGAGATATATGCACGAAGTAAACGTATTCTTTCAGGTGGAGCTGAATTTTTGCATTTGTACCTACTGAATAATTTTACACTATTGCCGAAAACGATTTTAATTCCGAGAAAATTCTGGTATACTAAGGAAATGATTCCATTTGGCGTTGATGTTTACATCATCTGGTTGCTTTGTGATTTCAATTTTAAGAGCAGAGCTGAAAACTTTGAAACATAGGAGAGTATGGAGACGGGGTTTTGTATACCCTGTACTCAAAGGACGAAGAGTATACTAGGCGTGGCCGACCCCACAAAGTATTATTTATATTGATCAGGGTGACAAGCCGAGTCGATATAGCCATGTCCGTATGTCCGTCCGTCCGTATGTATAAACGAAAGGATCTTAGAAGATACAAGAGCTAGAACCAAACTTGGTATCCAGGTTCCCCTAAGTCCTGGGCGATCTAGTTGTTTAATGTTTTTTGATGCACTGAAACTGTACATAAGCATTTGTCTCCATTTATGTATAATTCATAAAATTAATTTAATATTTATTCTCTGTACATAAAATGTACAAGAGTATGTATATTAGGTTTGCGGGAGCTGAAAATGTAACAGGCAGAAGGATATATATATTCTGGATCAGCGTGGCAAGACGAGTCGCCTGTGTCTCTCAGACGAGCTGTCTGCCTGTCTCTCCGACCTGGATCTCAGAGACTATAATAGATAGAGACACCAAATTTTGCACAAAGATGCCTTATGTCTGTACGCTGTGCAATTTTATTTTATTTTTTCGATTTGCCCCCCACTTCCCTCCTAAGGGGGTTTTCCCGATTTTACATCGCCTATATCTTCGACACTATGAGGCATAAGGAGACCAAATTTTAATCCCAGATGCCTTATGTGAATACTCAGAAAATGTGTCTTGGAATTTCCCTCCCTCCCCCATCTCTCGCGCAACTAGTGATCTTTCATAACACTTATAATTTTTGGAAATTCGAACTCAAATTTTGCTATGTAAATGTGCAATTATACATCCTTTACGTGAGTTCGAATACCAAGAGACGTAATATTGATAAAAAAAAATTTTTTTACTTGTAATTCTCTTACTTTTTTAAATTTCTATAATTATTCTAAACATATGTACAGAGTATTTTAAAGTCGGGACACCCGACTTTAGCTTTTTACTTGTTATACCCTGTACCCGTAGGGTAAAAAGGGTATATTAGGTTTGTGCAAAGTATGTAACATACAGAAGGAAGCATCTCCGACCCCATAAAGTATATATATTCTTGATCAGCATGACGAGAGAAATCGATCTAGACATGTCCGTCCGTCTGTCCGTACGTCTGTCCGTCCGTCTGGATGAACGCAAGGATCTCAGAAACTATAAAAGCTAGAATAACCAAAGTTGGCATCCAGATTCTCCTAGGTCCGAGTAAGGACGAGTTTATTTTATTTTTTGGAATTTTCCCCCCTTTCCCCCGCTACAGAATTTCGTCAATATCGTCCACATTTCAAATGCTACCTAAACCAAACTTTGCACACATAATTTCTATACAATTATCTACTGTTGTTTAATTTTAATTCTATCAAATTCGGTCAATTCTAATTCTGTAGCGGGGGAAGGGGGAGGAAATTAAAAAAAAAAAAAATAAACTCGTCCTTACTCGGACCTAGGAGAATCTGGATGCCAACTTTGGTTATTCTAGCTTTTATAGTTTCCGAGATCCTTGCGTTCATCCAGACGGACGGACAGACGGACGGACAGACGGACGGACAGACGGACGGACAGACGGACGGACATGTCTAGATCGGTTTCTCTCGTCATGCTGATCAAGAATATATATACTTTATGGGGTCGGAGATGCTTCCTTCTGTATGTTACATACTTTGCACAAACCTAATATACCCTTTTTACCCTACGGGTACAGGGTATAATAATTGTCTATTGTTGTTCAAAATTTTATTTAATTCGGTCAATTCTAAGAAAAGTTATTAGAAAAACAAATTCTCGCCAGTACAACCCCCACAAACTGCAGCAACAAATTCGCTCTTCTTCTTCCTCTTTTTGCTGCTGCTATGGGCGCATATAACTCAGTGACGCAAGTTTACCTGGGTACAGGGTATTACACTGCCGGGCTTGCTCGACTGTAGCGTTCTCTCTTGTTTTATTGTTTCTTTATATACTCAACAATTTAAATTTTTTTAAAATAAATTACAATTTCCTTTTTATACCCTGTACCCAAAGGGTGAAAGGGTATACTAGTTTTGTGCGAATGTATGTAACAGGCAGAAAGAGGCGTGGCAGACCCCACAAAGTATATATATTTTTGATCAGGATGACAAGACGAGTCGATATAGCCATGTCCGTCTGTGTCAGTCTCAGTAAGTACAAGAGCTAGGATAACCAAAATTGGTATCAAGGTTCCTATAAGCCCTAGGCAGATCGAGTTTGTTTATTTTTTCTGATACACCCTCCCACTCCCCCCCACTTCCACGCAATTCGTGTTTTTTCTTATAACTTCCGTAATTCTCGGAATTTTGAAATCAATTTTGGTAGGTACATCCAGTTAGTACTAATGTGGCCGTGTGCCATTCATCATGATAGGTCAATTCAGAAGAAAGTTATAGCCATAAGTAAAATCGCTGCTCATGCGCTGCTTGCAGCTCTGTCGGCAGCGCTGCCCGCAGCTGTTGTTGTTGTTGCTGCTTTGGTTCAACTTTGTGCTGCATACATACACGCATATAAACACGCATAGGTACGTGATGTAAATGTATGCTGTTAAAACCGAACATAAACATGTATTCTAATTTAATTTAATTAATTCATTCATTCATTCATTCATTTTTTTTTTAATTTTAATTTTTTTTTTAATTTTTCCTTTTTGTGGAGAGTACAGGGTATTTTACTGTCGGGCTTGCTCGACTGTAGTGTTCTCTCTTGTTTTATACTCTGTACATGAAATGTACAAGAGTATATTAGGTTTGCGCGAGCTAAAAAATGTAACAGGCTGAAGGAGGCGTGGCAGACCCCACAAAGTATATAAGTTAACACCGAAATTGTTATTCGGCAAGACTTAACATTTTCATATTGCAACTGCACGCGCATCCGCTCTAGAACACATAAAAAGCTGACACCATGTCTACGGGGCTTCCGTGGGAACGAACTACACGTCAGCATAGCTGCGCCGCTGCCGCGTCGACGCTGCGCTGGTTGTCAGGTTGAGGCATTAAGATAAAGAAATTTGTAATTAGCTTTTAGCTGATTTCTATTCTAAATATACCAGACCACCGGTCTGATCAAAAATTCATTTTTTTATTCAATCGAATCATTTAACTGGCGCCCAACGTGGGGTAGAAATTCGTCAAACGTAAAAGGATATAAGTGCACCTTAAGTAGCTGCCATTCCTACGTGTGTGTCGTATTAAAAAGACAGTGCAAGGCTAGCAAATCACAAAGCGGCCTAATAGAGCGAGCGACGAAAAACCTAAAAAATTCGATGTAAGAGCACCCTTAGGCTGCCCTTCGGACGAAAAAAGGAACGAAAACGGCAGGCGAAGATACCGGTGCCAGAAGACGAACCAGGAACAGTGATTGTAGATAAGTTCGCAGTCACCGCCGCGGGAATGCTAGGAAAGGGTACCCTAGTAGCAACAGCAAAAAGGAGCATACCCGCCAGCCGGCGACGATAAAATGTTCCACCTTATATTGTAAGTAGAATTAAGAATTATACAAAAACATATTCGAATTGTGAAACAAAAGAAAAAGGAAAATTTCATGCTATTTTGAAACAAAGAAATTTCTAAGGAAATGTAAAAGAAAAAGAAAACAAAATATTTTTTATACAATTTAAAAATTAGTTTTGATAAAGAAAATGGAAAAGATAAAAAATACACGAAATTAAAAGTGAACAGTGCAACCAAAAAGAGATATACTTGTATAAAATACCGTAAAAAAATAAAGTACTACGTCCGAACTGATTTTGAACGGAAATTTTAAAAATACAGTATAAACTGCCCAATCCTTCGAATCCTAAAAGGGCCCTCCAGGGTAGAAGGGTAAAACCAGCTGTCTGGTTTTAAAAAAAAAAACATAAATAAATAAAAAAATATGTATACGAATAAAATAGACGCCTAAAAATTTTGAAAATACAAAAAAAAAAAATCCTTTTACGGTTGACACTATTTAATTATAGAACAAATTAAATGAAAAACAAAGTGTGACTAATCATAAAAAAGAAAGAGAATTGTTTAAAAACCAAAATAAGAAACCCGCAATTTGCGCAATTAAAACAACATTAAAAAAAAAAAAATTGAAGAAAAAAGCTTGAATTTTGTAACAGGATAAAGAATAATATCCTTTTACAACCATATTCTTATAAAATTTATTATTCATTTAAGCTTTTGCATTTTTATACACATATACTTTTATACAATTCATTATTTCATTTGAACCTTTGCATTTCTATATACATACAAGTGATTATTTCTCCTGTGTGTAAAGAGCTTCTGGAGTTATTTATATCCATTTCAACAAAAGTATAGTAACAATTATGGCAAATCCAAATAATCTAATTAGGCCACCGCAGCTTAACCAGAATCAAAGCCAAAATATGCCAAGTGCTAGCATCAATCCTCCTATTGCCCACATGAGCCAGGTAGAGCTAGTAGCAACCATTTCGCAGGTAGTACAAGAGGCCCTGACACAGAGACTAGGAGAAAACAAAATACAGAGATGGGTGGACCAGAGCGTAAGCATAGACAGATCAAACCTGGGAGAATTCGATAAGATTCCCGATATTGTTAAAAGCCTTAGGGAATTTTCAGGCAATTCAGGGGAGTTTAGCTCCTGGAAAAAAAGCGTCGACCGAGTTCTAGACATTTATTCAACTTTGAAAGGAACTCCGAAATACTACGGAATCCTAAGTACTATCAGAAACAAGGTGGTAGGAAATGCAGACCAAGTTTTAGAAGCTTATAATACTCCACCTAATTGGGAAGCCATATCAGAGCATCTAACAAATAATTACGCCGATAGGAGAGATATAGGTACCCTCGAATACCAAATGTCTGGCCTCATACAAGGACAGCATTCTATATCGGAATTTTACCAGCATGTCTACTCGCA